ATTTTGCTCCTTCTGTTTGTCATTTTGTATATCACTGTCTTCTGACCTTTGGTGTAGAGCTCAGATAGAGTTATTAACTTAGCAACAGGTCCGGATCTATCAAGTTCAAAGTTGTCCAAGTGGGTGTGGCTAGGGTCTGCCTGCTGTGCTCCACTTCTTCCTGCTGCAGCCCTTGGAGTTGAAGCCTTTGTGTTACTCTGGCAAGATGTTCTGCTCCTGAATCAGTTGGGTGGGTCTTGTGTCTAGCCTCTTTGCAGGGAGTTCTGCTGCAGGGTTCCATGCCTGGCCTGGGCTCTGGGTCAGATGAGGATCCAGCGGGCCCTGGGTGGTCTCACTCACACACCAGGCTTGGGCTCTTGGTCAAATCAGGATCCAGCGGGCCCTGGGCTGTCTCACTCACACATCAGGCCTGGGTTGAATCCAGGTCACTGATTGTGATACTTCCTGCCTTTCCTTTGTTTCCAAGACTTCTTTTGATATTCTGGGTCTTTTCTGGCTCAAAATGAATTTGAGGAAAGCTTTCTCTAGTTCTGTGAGGGTATACTAATGGTATTTTAATCAGAATTGCATTCAATCTGTATAGCAATTTTGGTAGTATGGTCATTTTCACAATGTTCGTTCTTCCTATCCAGGAGCAAGGAATATCTTTCCATTTTCTCAAATCCTCTTCAATCTCTTTTCTCAGAGTACCATAATTTTCACTGTATAAATCTTTTATGTCCTTTATGAGATTAATTTCTAAGTATTTCATTTTTTTGGATGTTATCATGAAAGGCATGTTTTCCCGAATTTCTCTCCAGGTGTGCTCATTTTTTGTGCATAAAAATGCTACTTATTCTTAGGTATTGACTTTGTATCCTGCTACATTGCTTAATTTGATGATTAAATCTACAAACTCTTGGTGGACTTTTGGGGTCCTTTATGTAGAATATCATGTAATCTGCAAATAATGATAATTTCACTTCTTTTTCAATTTTTCTTCCTTTCATTTCCATCTCTTGTCTAATTGCTCTTCTTAATATTTTCAGAAATGTATTGAATAGGAGTGGAGACAGTGGACAGCCTCGTCTTGTTCCTGATTTTAAGTGAAGTCATTCAATTTTTACCCATTTAGTATGATTTTGGCTGTTGGTTTCAAACAGATGGCTTTTATCTGGTTGAGATATAGACTGTTTATTCCAATTCTCTAGGGTCTTTAACATGATGAATGGTGGACTTTATCAAAAGATATTTCTGTACCTGTTGAGATAAGCATGTGGCTTTTGTTTCAGCTCTATCAATGTGGCATATTACATTTATGGATTAACATATGTTGAACCATCCCTGCATTTCTGGGATGAAAGCTACTTCTTCTTGATGTGTAATCTTGATGATTTGCTGTAATCTATTTGTGAGTATTTTATTGAGGATTTTTGCCAGTATATTTGTTGGAGAGATTGGCCTGTAATTCTTTCTTAGTTTGATCTTTCTCTGGTTTTTGAACCAAGAATGAGTTTGGGAAAATTGTTTCCCTTTCACTTTCATTGAAGAGTGGAGCAAATCTGTCATTAAATCTTCTCTATATTTCTTGTAGATTTCTGCTGTGAATCCATCAGGACCTGAGCTTTTCTTTGTTGATAGGGTTTTTTTTTTTTAACTACATTTTCAGTTTTAATTCTCATTATTGGGTTATTCAGTGTTTGTATATCTTCTTGAGTCAGCTTTGGCATTTCATATGTGTCTAGGAAACTATCCATTTCCTCTGTTTTCCATCCTGTGAGAGTAAGACCCTTTCTCGTTGCGGGGAGGGGTGTTCTCCTATCTTGTGCCCCTGTTGGGACCCCTCTTCTCTCTCCTACTGTTGCTTATGATAGGCCCTTGCATTTTTCAAAAACTTACAGCATTCATCAGCTCACGTTTAGATGCTTTTGCTTCAAAGCCCATCCAAATACATTATCATCAGCTGGAAATGGCAGATCATCAAGAGTATCGTGAGAGGATTCCCTTAAATGGATCCTATCATAATGTGGCCTAATCTGATGTAGGCCCCCTGGTGAGATGGACAAGTAGTCAATGACAGGCAACTAGGACCCTCATGCAATACCACCGACCGCCTAAGACAGGAACAGGGCCTACCGCTGCCCTGTAATCCCATGACGGGTAAGGTGAGGTCAATCTCATGTGAAGGAGTCCTTGTCCCAAGCCAGGCATTGTCCCCGCAGGATACTGTCAATTTCCTGCTTAATGTAATTAATAAAAGGGAGGGACATGTGGGAGGTGATCGAATGCTCCTCTCCCTTATTTGGGCAAGAAATGCTGCAGCACCAATCCCTGCTTGCCACAGCCTCTTCCTGTGGTCCTGGACCTCCACTACCAATCCACAACTAGTCCCACCCAACTGCTTCCACTATACAGCTATTTAGACCCCACTCACTTCAATAAACGAGACTTGATCAGAATCCTGTCTTGTCTTCGTCTCTTGTGTCTCTTGTCCTGTCCTGTTCATCCCCGTTCCTCCTCCAGGTCACTGCCCAACGTGTTGACTAGCGGGATGAGTCACTTTCCTTTCACATTCATTGGCTGCACTGCTGTCTTTGAGGCCTGAATGTCTATATTCAGCATGAGCTCCACAGCTATGGTCCAGGGGCCAAGGGACACAGTGTCCCATAGGCCATCCAGAATCTTCTAAAGTTCTTAAACGGTTGGACCAGGCATGAGGAAAGCTCTGCACCTGCACACTCTGGGCCCACGTGTGGCAGCTTACCTGAATCCCACTGGCCTCCCAGAGTATTCCTAAGTTATTAAAAGGCTGCACCAGCACTAGCACTAGTTGCACACCTGTGTGCTAGGGGCCAATGTTAGAGCTTATGAGAGTTCTGCAGGATGCCGATTCCTCTAAAGTTCCTTTCAGTAGGTATTGATGATCATCTGCATTTCCACAAGATCCACTGTGGTCTGTCCCTTTTCATTCCTAACTGCATGAATTTGAGTGTTTTCCATTTTCTTTATACTATGTTTAATTGCTTGTCCTTCCTGGTGGTCTCTTTATATTGGTATGCATGGAATTTGGGGCTTTTTTTTCTTTCTAGTATATCATTTTGAACTTGTTGTAGAACTAGTCTGGTTATCATGAATTTCTCATTTCTCTTTTGCATAAAAGTATATTATTTCTATATTCTGAAAGATAATTTTGTAAAATACATTAATCTGCGTTGAAAATTGTTCCCTTTAAGGTTTGTAATACTTCACTCCAAGCTCTCCTTGACTTGAAGGATTGTTTGAAGTTTGCTGTGAGCCTGATGAGATTTGCTCTTAAGGTGATGTTTGTTTTAACACCTTTTAGTATCCTGTTATTGTGCTGAATTTCTGAAATTTTATTATATCCATTGTTGCAAATTTATTTTCGTCATGACTAATTGGAGTTCTGTATGTCAAATTCTTTTTCCATGCTTATAAAGTTTTCTTCTGTGATTTCTCTGAACTCTTTTTCTATGTCATCTGTTCTAACTACTGCATTTTCATTTATACCAATTATTCTTATGTTCTTCATTGCATTATGTTGCAGTTTTTGGATGGCTTTTTAATTATTCATTTCTATCTGTAAAAGATCTTTCTTTTCATGATCTGTAACCTTGATCCTGCCTTCTAGGTCTGATATTTTATCTTCAATTTCTTTCATACATTTTTTTGAATTTTTAATGGGATTTTTAATTAACAGAATAACTATTTGAATCTGTTTCATGGATTCCATTTCTTTCTTATGTTGGGTGACATAGTTTGGGGGTTTTCAAGGGGAATCATGCAATATAGGCCACATTTTATATAATTATTTTATAATGAGTCACCCAAAAAGTCATATGCAAAGAGTGCAAGGCATCTGTTTGCACACTAAGGACAAAAGAATCCAGCATAGGGTCTAGATCTTAATATCCTGGGTGAGTTCTGCCGAAAAATTTGAGCTCATAACAGTGCCTGCCACAAGTCTAACTGGAGACCTAGAACACACAACAATGTCTCATGCAAGCTCACTTTATGGATCTATGCTGGGGAGGCCCAAATGTCAGTGGTGGAACCCAGTATGTCTATGCCAATAGGGTGAAGGATTTGTGCTAGCAGATGGGAGGAATTTGAATTAGAGCCAAGAAGCCAGAACTAGAGCTTCCCTGTAAAGTACCACAACCATCCTCAGTGACAGTGAGGTCCCAAGCTCCTCCAGCAATGAGTAAAGGCTAGTTCCAATCAAGAAAATAAATGTCACAAACTTCTCCAGGACAGTGATCTATACCATCTTCCCTTGTGGAGCCAGGAAGTGATGCTCAGAATGACCTTAGATCCTCCCAAATGAACTGCAGCCATCCTCAGCAACAAGGAGGTTCCCGGCTCCTCCTCTGATGAGAATAACCAAATTCAGCAGCAAAGCCAGCATGATAGATTTCTCCACCAGAATAACTTAAGAGAACTAGCAACTTTTAACAGCTCCAACAGTTTTGCTAACAGTCTCTCCTTCTCCACTTCTGCCGCTTATGCTGCTAGCAATGATACTCGGGTGGATATGCCACACCCAGCACCATGATTGTTTAGTTCAGCTGGGTGTCACAGGTTGACCAAGTTGGCAATTCACTACATTGGGCATTTATAGTTACTATTTCTTCTATACTTCTGTATTATTTTAAATCTATGTCTACTCTAGGTTTGCAGAGTACTCTTTCATTATGGTCATCATCTTTTTACCTGAGATTATTATTTTTCTATATCCTGTATGGCCTCATCTTTCCCTCTGTCTGTCTCTGTCTCTGTCTCTATCTCTATCTCTCTGTGTGTGACTGTTTGCATGTCTGTCTATATATATCCCTTATATTATTGATAATTCTAGAGAAATGATATAATTTCATTTTTCATGGATAAAAAATCCTATATACTCATATTCATATCTCTTCACATACATTCCACATATTTTTCTATGCTGGAGATTGGTTGTTTCCAAGATTTGGCTATAACAAATTGTACTACTACAAACATGGGTGGCAAGCACAAGGACCTGAGTTCAATCCCCGGTTCTGAAAAAAAAAAAATTCATATATTACTATGGTATGAGATTTTCAGTTCTTTTGGGAAAATACTGAAGGGGAATAGCTGGATTGAATGGGATTTCCAGTCCTAGTTTTTTGAGGAGTCTCCACACTGATTTCCCTAGTGGTTACACCAGTCTACATTTCCACCAACAGTGAAAGGTTCCTTTTTTTCCTCACAGCCTCTCCAGCATTTGTTATTAGTTGATTTTTATATGATAGTCATCTTTTCTGGGGTGAGATATCTCAGTCATTATAATTTGCATTTTTTTTACCATTTGTATTTCTTCCTCTGAGAAATATGTATTTATCTCATATGCCCATTTTTGAATTGGGTCTTTAAATTTTGGGGGCCCAATTTTATTTAGCTCTTTATATATTCTAGATAGAAGACCTCTGTCTGAGTGATTATTTGTTAAAATTTCTTCCCAATTTGTGGGTTGTTTTTTCACTCTGTTGACTTCATTTGACGTGCAGAAACTTAATGAGATCCCAGTTGTTCATTTTTTGAAGTATTTACCATGTAGTTTGGTTTTTGTTCATGAGCTCTCTCCCTAAATCTGTATTCAAGATTTCTACCTACTTTTTCTTCCAGGAGATTTAGTGTTTCTTTAGATCTTTAATCCATTTTGACTTTAGTGTATGGTGATAGACCCATGTCTAGTTTTAGTTTCTGGCATGTTCAGTTGTCTTGCATTTTACTCTTTTAATTCATAATTTGGGTTTCTCATAATAAATTTAGCATATTATATTCAAATTTCTGTTTCAATTATATAACATCATTGACTCCAGATCTACCCATTCATTTTGGAAATTTTACATCATTTTATTCTTTGTTATGTATACACACATTCTTTTCAGGGCTGGGGATTTAACACAGGGTTTTAGTGTTGAGTTACATCCCTATCATTATTTATTTCTCAGTTTGAGACAAGGACTCTGCAGTCATTATGTTTCCTAGGCTGAGCATGAATGATTGATCTTCCTGCCTCAGCATCTTAGAATGACAGGGTTCTGTATACATATCACTATTCCAAGGCTATCTCATATTTCCTTAATCAGCTTAGTTATGAATGGGCATCTAGGCTGTTTCCTGAACTTAGCTTTTGTAAGCTGTACTGCTACAAGCAAGGGTATTAATGTATTTCTGTAATATGATTGGTTTAACTTTTAGAGAACCATACTCAAGAAAACTATAGCTTGATGAAATTAACTTTTTATTTTTATTTTTTAGAGGAATGTACATACTCATTTCCATAGATTTTTTTTTAACTTTTTTATTTTTATTTTTTTAAATTTTATTTATTTGTGTGTGTGTGTGTGTGTGTGTGTGTGTGTGTGTGTGTGTGTGTGTGTGGCTAGCTCAGCCCACCAGGGGGCGGGGCTGGCTGGCATGTGGGGCTGGGGAATTGAACCGCGGTCCCTTGTGCTTTGCTAAGCTTGTTCTAAGTAGGTGCTTTGGACCACTAAGCCATCTCACCAGCCCCTTCCATAGATGTTATACTACAACAACACTCCAAAGATGTTATGGAATTGTGCCTTTTAATATTTTGGAACATGGACTGAATGCTTTGGAGTTCTGCTTGAAAATAATTTTCAGAAGTGAGGTATTCATTTTGATTTCAAATATGTTCACAAGGATACCAATTTTCCAAATACTAAATATGTATACTACATTTATATAAACAGAATTTTTTACATAACTTTCAACATGTGCTCTTCTGTAATTACAGGTATATATCATTTGATATCCTTGACTCTCAGCCTAAACACAAAATTTGTTTTAAGAGAGAGAGACAGAGGGAGAGAGAGAGAGGGAGAGAAAGAGAGGGAGTGGGGGGAAAGGAGGAGAAATAGTTATTGAGGGTTCAACTCAGGCCCCTGTGCATGCTAGGCAGCACTTTACCACATGAAGCTACAGCCGAATGTCAAAATACAACTTCATATGAAATTTTTATCTTGTTGGGAAATAATTTGTTTATTCTTTTATATTAGGTAATGTCACTTGTCACATGTCAGGATTGCTTATATTTCAGATATTATAATATTTCAAATATCAATTAACAGATTGTAGGTATTCCACATGTAAGTTTCTAGAGTGAAATACTGTGAAATTTTGAAAACATTGTAGCATGCTCACATTTGAGTAGTTTTCTTGGCTTTAACATTTTTAACTCTTAAGGAGCATTGTTGTTGTAAGTTCAAATTACCTTAGATTTCTCCTGCAATATTTGTACTCATCTTCACTTTTTTTACCATTTGAGTTTCTTCCTAAAGAGTAAAAAGTGAAATATGAGTTACTACATAAAAATTCATAGATTCCAGTTAGAATCATAGTACAATGTGACCATGCCTGGATAAGTCACCAATGTTTATGTATTCCAGTGAAATAAATTGAATGGACAAGCAATAATCAATGCTCTGAATGCATAAATGTGAAGATATTGTCCTTACCTATATTAGCCACATTCCTAAAGGTCTCCCACATCACATCTCTGTATAGCTTCTTTGCGGATTTATCCAGCAAAGCCTATTTCTCTTTGATGAAGTTAACAGCCACATCCTTACAGGACACTGCCTCCTAAATCACCAGAAGTATTTATCTAGGGCTGGGGAGATAGTTCAGCAGCATAAGATTCTGCCAGACATACATATCCAGAAAGACTGAGACAACATGAAACATCTTACATCTATTCCTAAAAAGATGAAATGAGCCTGATTCCTCTTAAATGTTTACTTCATGTTTTGGTCATCAAACACTAATTCTCTATTGTTATACACATCTCTTATATGAAATTTGATGCTAGGCTACATTTTTTTGCTAAAGGAACAGTAGAATAGGAACACTGTGCTCTTTTCAGTACACTCATTTTCTTTTGAACATTGTTTCTAAAGCATAGTTTATACAGGGACCTTATAAGATCAGAACACAAGAAATTCACATAGAATTGTAACTGATAAATAACTCTCACAGATCATAAAATATAACTTTTTCCCAATGTATTATTCACTGAATTTATCCCTTTCTTCTGTGCTTATATTTAGACAGTATTTTGAAACCTGAACCTGGTTTCATACACAAAAACATATCTGAATGCTTAGAAAAGTTCATCACTGATAATGTGGAATACAGCGTTCACTGGAGAACATCTAAAAATGATAAAATTAGATTAAGGAAAACAGTATCTTACAGCTCAATAAAACAACATGACATATGGGAGACAAATGAGGGATGGAGGTGATTAAATATATATACTGAATATTTTGTTATCTATACATTGAAAAATAATAAAAGGAAAAATTGAAGAAAAAATTTGACTCTTCCAAATCAAACTTTTGATATGTCACAGAACAAAACTTCAGTATAACAAATGTTTAACAATGTTCAATAACTAGTAAACACTAAGTTGACAGCTCCTGTAACATATTAGAAAATCAAAATTCATTAAGGCATTGTTCTATTAGTTAAAATTACAAATTTATCACAAAAAATGAAGACCATTTGAAGGGCTCACATGAGTACAGAACACTCTCAGAGAACACATAGTAACTCATTGAATATGCTTATGTGATTGCAATGAAAGTGAAATTGTCCCATGCTTTTTATCAGATCACATGGCAATGAAATTGGAAATCAATGAAATCACAAAAACCTACATAAACATAAGTGCTCGAGACTACTACAAAGCTGCTGTAAGTGGAATTTAATATTAAAACAAGGGGCTTTGCATGTTTACCTGTGAGTCTGTTGAAGGCTTAGGCCTCTTGTCTGGAGTTGGGCAATGGAATCATAGTAAGTTAAATTCTAAGTCACGGGTCCAAGCTGAGGCTTATAATAGCAGGTGAAGTGGTAACACCTCAAAGGTCAAGGCCACAGCTAAGGACACCTGGTTTCCAACACAAGTAACTACATAAAGACTATAGCTGAGGCATCTCCTTCTTGGCTAGAGAACTTCCTAGAGATACCACAGTGCTTGAAGGTCCTTGAATGGTCCTGCTCAGATTTCCACTTTCTTTAGTGTTCCCTCTCCTTTATCTTGATAACTAAATGAATATGGGCCAACCACAGAAAATCTGATTTAGTGCTCAGAGAATCTTGACTTAAGAGTTTTTTTTTTTTTTTTTTTTTTTTTTTTTTTGGCAGAACTGGGGATTGAACTCAGGCCCTTGCGCTTGCCAGGAAGCACTTATTCTACTGAGCCATCTCCCCAGGCCCGTTAAAGGCTTTTTATCCTCCTGGAGCCCTAAAATCATAGCACTTGACTCTTTCACTTAAGCCTTTTCTGTATACTCATTAAGGAGACTGCAGATTTTATGTCTACAATAACTTTGGGAAAATATTAACCTGTTTCATATGGAAATTAAATAACATGTTAACAAACAACTAATGAATCACAGAAGAAATTAAGAGTATAAAGTTTTAAGGTTCTTCAATTGAACCATAATGTCAATATGACAAATTAGAATTTATGAGACACAATGAAAGCAGTCCTATAGTTTCTCCCCAGTGTGAGTTTGTTCATGTCTTCGATAAAGACTCTGTCTGGTAAAAGTCTTTCCACATTGCTTACATTCATAGGGTTTCTCCATAGCATGAGTCCTTTCATGCTTTTGACAACTACTTTGTGTCCTGAAAGGTTTCCCACATTGCTTACATACATATGGTTCCTCCCCCATGTGAGTTTGTTCATGTCTTTGATAATGACTCTTTTTACTGAAAAGTTTCCCACAGTGTTTACATAAATATGGTTTTTGCCCACTATGAACTCTTTTATGTATTTGATAATCACCTCGTACACTGAAAGATTTCCCACATTGCTCACATACATAGGGTTTCTCCACAGTGTGAGTCCTTTCATGTTTTCGAAAACAACTGCTCGTGCTGAATGCTTTCCCACATTTCTTACAAATGTAGGGTTTCTCCCCAGTGTGAATTCGTTCATGTATCTGACGGTAACTGTGTGTGGTGAAAGCTTTCCCACATTGCTTACATACATACGGTTTCTCCCCAGTGTGAGTTCTTTCATGTTCGCGACAACTACCACGTGTTGTGAAACCTTTCCCACATTGCTTACATACATAGGGTTTCTCACCAGTGTGAGTCCGTTCATGTCTTCGACAATGACTCTGTCTGCTAAAAGCTTTCCCACATTGCTTACATGCATAGGGTTTTTCCCCTGTGTGAGTCCTTTCATGTGCTCGAAAACAATTGTGTACCCTGAAAGCTTTCCCACATTGTTTACACACATATGGTTTTTGCCCAGTGTGAATTCTTTTATGTATCTGACAATCACCTTGTGCACTGAAAGCTTTTCCACATTGTTCACATACATAGGGTTTTTCCCCAGTGTGAGTTCGCTCATGTATTTGATACTGAGTACGTGTTTTAAAAGTTTTCCCACATTGTTTACATGGATATGGTCTCTCATTAATGTGACTTTGTTCATGTGTTTGGTATCTACTATGTGTGTTAAGAGCTTTCCCACACTGCTTATATAAAAAGGGTTTCTCCCCACCATGAGTACGTTCATGTACTCTACAATGTCTGTATGTACTGAAATCTTTTCCACATTCCTTACAAACATAGGGTTTCTCCCCACTGTGAGTTCGTTCATGTTCACGACAATTACCGAATCTCCTAAAAGCTTTGCCACATTGCTTACACACATAGGGTTTCTCCCCAGTGTGAGCCCTTTCATGTATTTGACAGTTACTCTGTGTAGTGAAAGCTTTCCCACAGTGCTTACATATATAAGGTTTCTTCTTATTGTGAGTTCTTTCATGATTATCAAATAAAGTGCTATTAGTGAAGGATTTCCCACAGTGCTTATATACATAGGGTCTTTCTCCTGTATTAACTCGTTCAAGTATCTGAATATCATGTTGAGAATTAAAACCATTTCCACATTGTATGGCTATATGGGTAGTCACTGTGCTATGATTTTTTTCATAAATTTGTACATAGTTGGCTGTACTAAGGGCTTTTGCATCTTGCTCAGATTCAAAAGTCTTCTCTTCAGTGTTAGTTTCTTCACTGCAACCACAGCTGAAGTTTCCACATTGCTTATATTCATATGGTTTCTCTTCTGGATTTGTCTTTGTATGCTTCTGAAAGGACTGGATGTCAGTAGACATTTTTCCATGCTTGTTACAGTTTGACAGTTTCTCTTCAAATCCCTGATACTCATATGATTTCAGTTCAGTGGTAGCTAGGATGGGTACAATGGGTGAAGAATGACCAATGAGGAGATTTCTAAAAGCAAGGCTGTCACTTGCTTTTGTACCAAATGGTTTCATCTTTATCCTATTATCTGGAGTCAGAAAAACTACTTCTTCATGTTGATATACTTTGTATTCACAGCATTTCTCCAATTCTTCACTTCTGGAAAAGCATAAAACAACAAAGCAACTGATTGTCACATATAAAAGTGTCTTTTCAATTGTGAGATATCAGTAGGAGAACAGGTTTGAGGCTCTTGAAGAATATTTAATCATGTGTGGATTGTACCCTCTATATGATGGCTTGGAAACAGCTTTTTACCAAAGCATTCATGTTAATTTGGGAGTTTACAATTGACAAATTAGTGATACATAGTGATAGGTTATGGCCGTAGTATGAATTGCTGAATTATTATGGTGGTCATCCAATATGGCTGAGGCCCTGAAAACAACAGATCATCTTCCTAAAGACCACCTCCCCACTTCTTCTGTATCTCAGCCCAGCATGCAATTTCCTTTCACCTTTCCCGCTACCTCATGGAAGGCCCCAATCAGCTCCTCAAGTATATCTAAACATCTCCCTCAAACCCCCACCTGGGGCAAAAGGCCATAAAAGTCTTAGCCTACCTGTGTTCCAATCCAGAGAATTCCTTATCTGCCCAAATTCTCTCTGTGTACTCCAAGATAATAAAGCCCCTTTCCCTTTTTCCTTCTGCCTGTTTCTCTGCTGCAACACTTGTCAAAACCTATCACATGGAACTTTCCATTTTAGGAATTGGTAGGTATATAACATAGGTTGATTTTTTTTGATACTTTCTCCTCAATGACTACTAGCTCATCCTTCAACTGAACCTCTTTACCCAGTCCTAAATATCTGCCTCCCTCTATTATCCCATCTATCCTTTATTTTCTTACTTAATTCATATTTTGGGTTTCTCATACTAAATATACAATGTTATCATTTTTGTGTCTGAAATATTAAATTTAATATTATGGACTCTAGATCCATACAGTTGCTGGTGATTGACTTTATGTCATTCTTGTTTATGGCTGAATACTATTCAGATATGTATATACACCATATTTTTTTAGGGCTTGAGATGTAACCCAGAGTTTTGGCACAGATCTACATTCCCAGCCATATTTTGGGGAGGGGAGTACCAGAATTGAACTCATGACCTCTTACTTGTCAGGTAGGCACTATGCCACTGAGGTATATCTCTGCTCCCTATTCTGTATTTTATTTATTTTTATTTCTGTTTTTATTTTTTATGTATTTGGTATAGGGTCTCACTACACAGCTTGGAATTGTAGTGATCCTCCTATTTTCAGCCTCCTCAGGCTGGGATTACAGGCATGCACCACCACGCCCAGTCACGTGGCTGGCTCAGTGGGTCTCACAATGGGGCTGGCCATGTGGTTCCTGGAATTGAGCCCCAGTCGCTGTACTTGCCTAAGCAAGTGCTTAGTCTGCTGAGCTATCTTGGCAGCCCCATTTTCTATTTTAAAACAGTCTTATCTATCAGTTTGTTGGCAGGTTGAACATGAATGCATGATGATTCTCCTTCAACTTTAGAGTCCTAAAATTCCAACCACACATCATTATGGCCAGGCTATTCAACATTTCCTTGTAACTTATCTGTGTATGGACATCTAAGCTATTTGCAGACCACAACTTTTGTTGGTTGTGTTGCTACTAGCAAGGAACACGCACATTGTTAGATATCTCCTTTTAATTTTGGGGAAATATACTCAAGGAAAGCATAGATGGATAAAACGGCATTTATATCTTCACGTTTTTGAGGACCATCTATACCCATTTCCATAGATATCAAAAACATTCACACCACTAATACTGGGAAGTGACTGCTAGTATTTTGGAACATGAATGCACTGAATTTCAGAGCATCGCTTAAAAACACATTAACACAACACTGGCATTCATTTGAATATTACATACCTCAGCTAGGTATGCAAATTTGTAAATAAAGAATGTATATACCACATTTAAATACATATGCCATTTCTTGTTTGATGTGAAAATGATCTATATTTGATGTGAAAATATATATATATTCACTGAATTTGGTTCACAAGCTAAACACAAACTCTGCTTTATATTCTCCTATAATCAGTTTCTGAAAGCAATTTCATTTAATATTTTTATGAACTTGAATAATAACACCTGTGGCATGAGGTCAGTACTGCCTATATTTTACATACTGGAATATTTCAAATATTAAATTGTTATATTAGATACTCAACATATATTCATTTGGTGAAAGTTCATGAAATAAAATAATTTTAAAAAGGCCCTTATTTGTATAGGTTTCTTGGTTTTAATATTTTTGACTCTTGAGGAATATTGTGTGAAAATAAGTTACCTTAGATTTTCCCAGCAATTTTTGTATGCATCTTCAGTTTGCTGCTCCTCCCAGTTCCTTCCTAAAGTACACAAGTAGAAATGTTAGGGCTTGTGTCTAGATGACTTCTCAAAGCCTTATGCAGTCATATGAGGAGCTTTTTGGAATTGGCTGAATCGCACATGTGTGATACTGAGATTAATGATGTGATACTGGCATCGATTCATAAGAGTGCCCCATCCTGGACGTGAGTACAACTTGCCCTAGGGGTGGGAACCTGGGTAGATTAGAAGGGACAAACAGAGAGCTGCTGTTGGTACCTACTGCCTTCTGTGGTACCCCTAGGCCAGGACCAATGACTTGGGGCCTGCTACCTCTGGACTGAAGTTTCCACAAGCTGTGAGCTGATGTAAAGCTTTAACTTTGGCTGCTGGGCATTTTGTCTCAACAATGAGAACAGTAACTAAGACAAGATATATGATGACTTGCTATATTATATATCAATCTACAGATTCCAGTTAAATTCTAAGTACGTTGTGACCATCTCTGGAAGAGTCATCAAGT